CTTCCCCCGGTCATTCCCATCTGGGCAACACCAGACCTCCTGCTCTGTGGGGTGGGGCTGGCAAAGACAAGGCACCCACTCCATGTGAGTCATGTTCTTGGAGACTTTAATTCCACTAGAACAAAATACAAAACAGCAAACCAAATACAACATCCTACCCCAGGGAGGTGGGAGGGTGGGTGAGCAACTGCTGGGAGGTTGGGGCTGGGCTCCCTGCTGTGCCTGGGAGAGGCTCAGTGTCTACCCTAGGCAGGGAGGGGTGAGTGTGGTCCCCAGCAGTGGCATGAGGTCAGGGCCCATCCACACCCCCACCCCAAGCAGCTGTTTCTACACAAGCAGAAAGACAGAGGACAGACCAGGCAGGCCTGGAAAACTCCACTTCACCCACTACTGACCAGAGGGAACAAGTGAGACCACCACTAAGGGTGCTACAGTCAGTAGCAGCTATGGGCCCCCATTTCCCAACAGCAGTCAGAGGAGGTGGGGACCCTGTGGGAACTGGAAAACCTTTCCCACACATGCTTTAGTCCACCTCCTCCATGCGAGATGCATCTTCTTCCCCCTCAAGAGGGGGGATTTCATCAGACACGGCTGCGCTGGGCTCCTCTGCAGCTACCACCTCCTCCTCATCAATACCTGGAGTAGGGGGTGAAGACATAGGCAGGTCACTATGGGGATTTGAGTTTAGCCCCACTGGTCTCAAACCAGTTGTACTGGAAGACCCTCCCTCTGGCCCCATGTTTTTGGTTGGACAACTCGGAGCAAGAGGCCACTTTTCAAGGAAACTCTTGCACTTGCTAAAGAACCTGAAAACGTTTGCAATTCCAACAGGTTACTGAGGGCATTCCAGAGTGCCCCCCCACCCCACTCCTTTATGACAGGGAGCTAAAATCTCCCAAAACGCAGCACTCTGCTAGGAGTTTATTCAGCCTCTAGGGTACAGGGACACGGGATATCTACAGCTCCCCTGAGGCTCTGGCAGGCACATTTCAGACTCACCGTGTTACTGGCAGAAAGATTCTGGCTTTCACCTTTTCCTCTTGAAAACTAAATGTCTTCCACTTAAGAAAACCCCTCCAAAGACCTGCATTTTCAAACCAGCTCTACCCTCACATAATGCCATCATGTGCCACTGACTTTTCAGTCTGGTCTTATGTCCAGGCCCTGGCACCTTAAGCCACTTGCAGGCTACTCCAGCCAGTACAGGACAAAGCCAATCCCCCCTGCCTGAGTAGGGCATGTCTGCTTTCGACTGGCACACACTGCCTCCTCCACATAAAAAGATGCGCTCTGCATCCCTCACCCTCCCATCTGCAGCACTGAGCCAGGATGGGAAACGGTGCCCCCCTCCAGAATCTCTATTTTGTCTAGGAATGGAGGGAAAGGTGAGAGCTCCAGGAGAGGTGCTCCCAGGCGCAGGTCTCCCCAAGGAGACCTGCTAGACCAGGAGTAGCCAACCTGCAACACAAGTGCCTCAGGCAGCCTCTGTGTGTGGCATAGATGATCAGGGAGGGAACAAAAAGCAGAGCAGATCGAGCAAGGGAAGGGGACTGGCATGGCACACCTTAATTTGTAACAACCTGCCTGAAAAGTTGACCCTCACTGTGCTAGACCAACAAAACCCAATGTGTCCCAACTCCCACCTTTGGGGCTTGCTGCTGAGGTCAGGATCCTTGAATTCCCAGTGCTGAGGGGATGGAAAAAGCACCTCCTTCCTTAGGGTCAGCTAAGAGCACCACAGCACCCTGGCTGGCACACTTACCCAGCCCCAGCTTGATCATCCTGTAGATGCGGTTGGAGTGGGTCTGGGGGTCTTCCAGGGAAAAGCCAGAAGACAGCAAGGCTGTCTCAAAGAGCAGCACCACCAGGTCTTTGACAGCCTTGTCATTCTTGTCAGCCTCAGCCTTCTGGCGTAGCGTCTCCACAATGGGGTGGTCGGGATTGATCTCCAGGTGTTTCTTAGCCATCATGTAGCCCATGGTGGAGTTGTCCCGCAGGGCCTGAGCCTTCATGATGCGCTCCATGTTAGCCGTCCACCCATAGGTGCTGGTGACGATGCAGCAGGGAGATGAGACCAGCCGGTTTGAAATGGTTACCTGGTGAGGTATGGAGTGTTAACCACTTGGGAGGTGACCAAGCAGGGGTCAGCATGCATCTGACTGGCCCTGGTCACAACCCTGCTGAGGCTCCAGCATTCACATTAAGCACAGCTGGCAACACCCCTAGTGATGACCTGCGAGGACTACAGTTGAGTCCTGGCTGTCAAAAAAGGCGCAGATGCCCTCCACAGCCCAGCTCCTTGCATGTACAATCACTGGATCACCACCACTTCTTTATGGAGGAGCCAGTGGCAAAAGGGGTAGGGAACCTTCACAATCAGTTTGAGGCGCCATCTGGGACAGCACAGGCAGCTCTGCCAGCACTGTAGCACTCCATACTCATTTCTACACTTACCCGCTCCCAGAAATGCACATATTTGGGTCAGTGCCCCTCGCCCGCAGCCTGGCTGCTTAGAGCAAGATGGTGCAGTGCATGTTGGGACCTTCAGTCTCCTTTAGCGGCTCCTCTGTTGGAGATGAGGGACATCAGAAGCATGCACTGAGCCAGGGCCCAGCCCCCACCTGCATTCAGGGGGCCCAGTTTTCTCCCTCTGACCCCTCTCTCACAGCAGCCTGGGACCCAGTCCCAAGCCAGGCTTCTCCCCTCAACCTTACCTTCTCCACCTTCTTGTCCAGGATCTCCTTCATGAGTTTGCAGAGGCTCTCAAACTTGGCCTTGCTCTCCTCCATCTTCCTCTTCTCCTCCTCATCCTCAGGCAGCTCCAGCCCCTCCTTTGTGACTGATACCAGGCTCTTCCCATCGAACTCCTTGAGCTGCTGCACACAGTACTCGTCGATGGGCTCGGTCATGTACACCACCTCAAAGCCACGCTTCCGTACACGCTCCACAAAGGCTGAGTTTGCCACCTGCTCCTTGCTCTCCCCTGCACCAGGTGAAAGAAAGAATCACCAATCTGAAGGAGTGCAGCTGGCTGGAGCATCCCCTGCTCAGGGGCCATGTCTCAGGTGAAGCCCAATTACAGGAGTTTCCTAGCCCCTGAAGGACTACGAACAGAGCCCGGCCCTTGGCAGAACAGAGACCATGGGACTCCCACACCCAATTCCCTGCCAGGGAGCCAAAGCACTCTATTAACAAGCCTCTTTGTTTACAAGACAGGCTGCAGTCCAACTTGAGTGCACCCACATCTAAATTCCTGGGACAAAGGATCCCCAGAGAGACCTCCCACAGTCACAAGCCCCTGGATAGGACCCTGCTGTCCACTGTGCTTCCTGGAAGCAATACACAAAGGTCTCTCAGGACCATCCGCTTCAGGGAACACCATTCTGGGGAAGTGGAAGAGTCTCTCAGTCAACATAAACCTCTGAATGTTGCATTAATAACAAAGAATCCTGCTAGGCTAAGGATATGCCCGTCCCTTCTCTGTGGGTGAGCGGGTTAAGGGAGGTTAGGTCCACCAGGCAGTGCACATGACTGATTGGTAGGGCAGATGTGTGAGTAGGTGTGGCTCATCAGGTAGATGGCACTTACCTGTGATGTAATAGATGCTCTTCTGTGTGTCCTTCATGCGAGACACGTACTCTGAGAGCGAGGTCATCTCGTCACCTGACTGAGACGTGTGGTAGCGCAGCAGCTCTGACAGGCGCTTCCGGTTGGCAGAGTCCTCATGGATCCCGAGCTGGGGGCAGAGGAGAGGACATGCAGCCCCCAAGAAGCGACTCTCCAGCCCTTGGAGCTGGAATCTTACCCCTCCTCTACCCCCTGCCCCAACTCCCACACCCAAGGACTTCCACACCTCAGTCTGGGGACAGATGTGGTGAGGGAGTCCCAGCAGCCCCCACAAGCACCCTAAAGTACAGTCAGCTCCATCAGCAACACACAACAGTCAAGGCCCCTCTGCTCCAACATGCTCCTAGACAGAGGTCTGTGTCACGGCGCCACTCAGAGAACAGACCACAAGCCATGCCCTCTGACAGGCTGGAGAAGGACGTGAAATCATGGGCAGTAAGAGGCCCCACCTGCCCCAGGCACTGGATAGGCCAAGTCTCACCTTGAGGTTCTTGGAGAAGGCCTCATAGAACTTCTTGTAGCTCTCCTTGTCCTCAGCCAGCTCCGAGAAGAGCTCCAGGCACTTCTTGACGATGTTCTTGCGGATCACTTTGAGGATCTTGCTCTGCTGTAGCATCTCACGGGAGATGTTCAAGGGCAGGTCCTCCGAGTCCACCACGCCCCGGATGAAGTCTGCAAAAGACCGACAGCAAGGAGCTAGTCAGTATGGCTGAGGGAGAAGTGGTCTGGAGGTACACCCACCCCTCGCACAGCAGAGGTAACATGAAGAAACCCCATGCATGCTTTGCTGCAAGCTGCACCCAGACACCAGCTCTTACTCAGGTACTCGGGAATGAGCTCGTCACAACTATCCATGATGAAAACACGCCTCACATACAGCTTGATGTTGTTCTTCTTCTTCTTGTTCTCAAAGAGGTCGAAGGGGGCACGGCGCGGGATGAAGAGAAGCGCCCGGAACTCTAGCTGCCCCTCCACAGAGAAGTGCTGCAGAGGGGAGAGGAATGCACCTCCCTTCACACATCTCTCCGACACATGCGCACATACACACCACCCAGCACTAGCTCCAGGCACCTGTGAAGGCCTGAGAGGCTGCCTGGAGCAAGCCCTTCTTGGTGCATTAGGCAGGTGAGACCCCTAGCATTGGACTCACTCCATCTCAGGACCACCCACTCCCATTGCTCCAGAGGGTACTTGCCAAGACTGCTACCCCAAAGGCTTGTGCCATAGGGCAACGTCCAGGCCTTTCTGGATGCCCAGCGTAACAGAAGGGACTGGGAGCAACAGTCATGTAGTTCAATGAGTCAGCATGCCCCCACCCACAAAAGCAGCTCAAATGGGCACATGTGGCAGAGCTGCCCTCTTGATGGACCCCAGCTGGGCCATTTGGAACACCCTTCCCCAGCTTCCTCCATTGGGGCCCAGCTATGATAGGGGTGCACTGAGCCTCATTTCCTATTCCATTGAGTAGCATGAGGAGCCTCTGGGCTCCCTCCCAGCCAGCCCTCCCCTCACCTTGACAGCCAGGTGGTCCTCCCAGTCATTGGTGAGGCTCTTGTAAAACTCGCCATACTCCTCCTGGGTGATGTCATCAGGGTTGCGGGTCCAGATGGGCTTGGTCTTGTTCAGTTCTTCCTGGTCAATATACTTCTCCTTGATTTTCTTGGTCTTTTTCTTCTTCCCTTTGTCTCCCTCTTCCTCCTCCTCATCAGAGCCCACATCCTCGATCTTGGGCTTCTCCTCATCCTTAGAAGCAGGCTCCTCCTCTTCCTCCTTCTCCGCTTTCTCCTCCTCTGCCTCATCATCACTGATCTCCTTCTCTCGCTCCTTCTCCAGCTGCCAAGTGGAGGAGCAAGAAGAGTCAGAGCCAGGGCACCTGCCACCCCCTGGGCCTCCTCCCCATGGGGAAAATTGGTAGCAGCAAACAAATACCCCATTGCCCCGGGGGCATGGGGAAGGAACTTGCAGCTGGAATGGGTAATGGCACGGATGAACCCAGCACTGGGGGCACAGCATATGAAATGCAGGCTCAGTGCATGTCTGTAGTCTTTGGCTGTCTGGGCCCACTGGGAGAACAGAGGACTTGTAGCTACCAGCAGCTGGTGAGGTCTCCAATTGCTCGTGCAATAGGAGGCCCATGTTTGGGGAGGGTGCTACCCCTGACCAAATGGGGTAGGCCACTGTCTACATCCCTGCAGAGACCTCAAAGACAGGAACTGTTGTCAGCCTTGGCCATTTTCAAGGGGCCTAGGCCAGGCTGCAGAAGTGTGGCTAAGCAGAAGGCCCCAAAGCCTGTTTCTGAGTAACTGTAGCATAAATCTTTGCAGGTGAGATAACTAGCTTGGTCAAAGTAAAGGAAGCCATCCTCATATCTAACTAAAACAGTAACGAGATACAATTAAACAGAGCACAAGGCCTGAAAAGAGAAATTGTAAGGGAAGACCATACATTAAGTAATTTAGATATACCATTTCATAACTTTAGCTTATAGTAATTGATATAACCAAATGTATTAGATGTTATTTTACTCTAACAGATATATTTTTGTTATGATGCTTAGACAAGTTGTAAAAACACAACAGCTTTGTCAGAGAAAACTATAAACTAAGGTAAAGAAGAAACAGGAGAGTGTTGAACAGCACTCCACAATGGGGAGGGAAAAGGAGGTAAGAAACCCTCCCTTTTACTTTCATAAGGATATAAATACCAACTAACAGCCAAGTCCACAAGAGATCTGGTTCAGTCTAGCCCCCAAAGTTTCAGTAAGATAAAACAATTTAAATAAAACCTTTTTCTCCTACTGCAGCAGCAGACAGAGCCAAAGTCCTTTCCCTAAACTTCTGATCAAACCATCACAGACACTAGGCATGTGGCTGGGAAGACTCAAGTTGGAGTGTGCTATCTTCTCCATGCTCCCATCCCCACATGCTCCACCTGCCCTTCCCAAGGATCCCCACTGTCCTTTGCATACATACAAAGAGGGTGATGGGGTAGCCGATGAACTGCGAGTGCTTCTTCACCACCTCCTTGACACGGCGCTCCTCCAGGTACTCTGTCTGGTCTTCCTTCAGGTGAAGGATTACCTTGGTGCCACGCCCAATGGGCTCACCTGCAAGGTGGCGAGAGAGGCAGCAGTGTTACTGACTGTAGGCACTGCAGCAAGATCACTGGGAAGAGGAAGCTGGTCTAGAGGCAAGGCCTCTGCCAGGGCCTCAATCTAGTCAACTGTGTGCTCCACCAGTGTGAGGATCATCAAGGCAGGAACCCAGAGAGGCCGTAGCCACAGTAACGACTGGTCCTGGTAAGAGATGCTGCACCAGGCATGGTGATCATGAACCACTAGACCGGGACCTCTTCTCTCCCCAACACACCAGAGTGCCCCCACCAAACCCTGTTAGGGGCCCTATCCTGGCAGACACGGTGAAAGGAATGTGGCTGGCTCCCTGCTGGCCTCTGCCCATGGTACATACCATGATCAGTTCGGACGGTGAAGGAGCCCCCAGCTGCCGACTCCCAGGCATACTGCTCATCATCGTTGTGCTTGGTGATGACCATCACCTTCTCAGCCACCAGATAAGCAGAGTAGAAGCCCACGCCAAACTGCCCAATCATGGAGATGTCCGCACCAGCCTACAAGGGGGAAGGGAAAGGGGTGAGAAGGGCAGCAGACCAGAGACAGGGGATGTCTGGAGTGCAGCAAGGCATGTCCCAATGACAGGGATTCAGTCCAAGGGCCAGCATGCCTATCTAGAACACGTGCACACATGGTGGGACAGAGACTATCAGCTCACCCCTGAACAGGAGGCACGTAGGCCACCAGCACCAGGGAAGTCTCCCTGGGAGGGCATAAGACTAAAAGGGGGGGGGGGGGGGGGGGGGGGCAGGCATCCCCCAACCACGCACTGTGCATCAGAGCTTCCTCCTGGCCAAAGTCTGCAAGGCCCTGGAAGGGCACAAGCCCCATAGATGCCTAGGCCCCCTGAAGGATGCATCTCCACCTATGCCCAAGCTGGAAGCCACTCACCTGCAAGGCCTCCATGAAGGCTTTGGTACCAGACTTGGCAATTGTGCCCAGGTTATTGATGAGGTCAGCTTTAGTCATCCCAATGCCTGTGTCCACCAGGGTAAGGGTACGCTCCCGAGGGTTCGGGATGATGTCGATCTTCAGTTCCTTGCCGCTCTCCAGTTTTGAAGGGTCTGTCAGGCTCTCATAGCGGATCTTGTCCAGAGCCTAAGGAGAAAGGAGAGTTAGCATGGCCTCCCCACCCAGGATTCATTCACTCCATGAGCCCTGTACCCTTTCCAGCTCCATACGGGAAGGCCCACAGACCCTTCTTTTTGAGACAGCAACACCTGGGCAGAGGACCCACAAGCCTGATCAAACCATCCAGTGCTGAGAACAGTGCCCAGTCCAAGACAGGTGCAGCAGCTGCTGTCCCCTTTGTGTATCATATATATCACTGGGGAAATGCCTGGAAACCACCAGGCACCCCCAAATAACTCCATGGCAGTCTCCTTTCACAGGATAGAGCAGTGGTTCTCAACCCTCTTTTTAGGCCCAAGACACCCCTCCTTAGGCTCAAGGCCCCCCTTGAAGAATGCCAGCTCTGAGCTTTCATTCTTCTCTCAACCATGGAAAAATAATAGAGCAATTCTGCTGTGAAGATCTCAGGCTGCAACAGGGCAGGAGGGTTTGGCCACTTTGGGGCAAAATCTCTGGGTTTCTCTCATGAACCATGGGCAGGCGTTTGCACACAACACCACTCCCACAGCACCCCAGTGGAGAATCACTGGGATAGAGGCACAACCACTGTCAGGTCCGGCCTTCTGCCTGGCCATGCCAGGCCCTGCCTGTGCCAGTTCTACTGCTCCAGACCAAGGGGACCCCCGCCATCCCCAGACAATCCACACTCAACAATCCCTGAAGCCTCAGCTCCTTGGAGGATTACTCCCAGCGGGTGTTTCTTTACTCTTCGCAAAGGTAGGTGCCCCCAGCATGGCCTCCTTGAGAGAAAGGCACGGTTGAGACACATCCCAAGGCCCTTAGGGCACCACCCTGCTTCTCCCAAGGCCTCAGCAGCACAAATAATCAGCAGCTGCCCTAGAAACAGGCACAGGCTGTAGATCAGCACTGGGCTTGGCCATGCTGATGCCCAGGGGCTCAGAGTAGGGGTGAGCCACCCCCGCCTTGCCCTTGCCCTTAGGCTCACATCAGAGGCATTGGAGATGAGCTCCCGCAGAAAGATCTCTTTGTTGGAGTAGAAGGTGTTGATGATGAGGGACATGAGTTGTGCGATTTCAGCCTGGAAGGCAAACGTCTCCACCTCCTCCTCCCCATGTTGGATTTCCTCAGGCATCTGCAAAGCAGGCAACACTGTCAGCTCAAGGAGGGGACACCAGGGAACCCTCCACCCATCCCAGGGTAGCCTAGGTGGAACCTGGGGAAGGGAAGGGGATGCACAGGAAACCTCACGCCCATCTCAGGGCAGGCTGATGGAATGCAGGGAAGGGAAAGGGACACACAGGAACCCCCCATCCATCCCGGGTAGCCCAGATAGAAGGTGGGGACACACAGGAAACCTTCCACCTATTTAGGGGCAGGCCGATGGAAAGTGCAGGAGGGAGCAGACATGCAGGAACCCCCCAGCCATCCTGGGGCAGGCCCAGATAGAAGGTGGGAAAGGGAGGGGATGCACAGGGAACTGTCCACCCATCTCAGGGCAGGCAGATAAAATGTGGGGAAGGGAGCAGGCATGCTGGACCGCCCCCCAGCCATCCCACATGGAGTCCAGGAAGGCAAGGGGATGGCTGGGGAACCATCCGCCCATCTCAGGGGAGGCTGATGGAAGGTGCAGGAGGGAGCAGACACACAAAACCCCTCCAGCCATCCCAGGGCAGCCCAGATGGGCAGGAGATTCCCCATGCGTCCCCTTCCATCTCCCGGCAGGCCAACAGTAGGTCTGGGAGGGAGCGGACGCACAGCCACATGCTACCCCCCCCCAGCCAGCCCAGCCCAGCTGGAAGGCGAGAGGACGCATGGGGACCTTTCACCCCTCTGAGGCCAGGCCCATAACGTGGGGAAGGGAAGGGGACAGCCCAGATGAGGGCAGGGGGGCTCCCCCGTCTCAGGCCCGGCAGATAAAACGTGGGGGAGGGAGCGGACACACCGGAGCCCCCCCCCAGCCACCCCGGGGCAGTCCACATGGCAGTCGAAGGGATGCCTGGGGAGCCTTCACCCATCTTGGAGCAGGCTGCTAAAACGCGGGGGAGGGAGCAGACACACGGGACCCCCGGGGCATCATCCACGGGGCAGGCCGCTGGGAGCGGACACAGCCCCCGAGCAAAGCGCGGCGCCCAGGGCGGGAGGAGACACGTGGGAGGCCGCAGTCAGGCCGGGGCGGCCCCGGGGGAGGGCGGGGGGCGCAGGCGGAGTCCCCCCCCGTGCCGCGGCCGCTGGGGTGGGACCTCGTACCGTGCTGGCGGGAGCGGGGAACACC